TTATACTGGGATATACTGGGAGGGGATTGGTTTATACTGGTTTATACTGGGATATATTGGGAGGGAACTGGGTTCTACTGGTTTATACTGGGATGAACTGGGAGGGATTGGTTTATACTGGTTTATACTGGGAGGGAACTGGTTTATACTGGGATAAAAGGGGAGGGATTGGTTTATACTGGTTTATACTGGGAGGGAACTGGTTTATACTGGGATAAAAGGGGAGGGATTGGTTTATACTGGTTTATACTGGTTTAGACTGGTTGAACTGGGATGAACTGGGAGGGGACTGGGGATACTCGGGGGGCTCCAGCAGATTTTGGGAAATTGAGGCGGAATTTTTGGCAATTCCGGGGGGATTTTGGGGGATTTTGGGAATTCCAGGGGGATTTTGGGGGATTTTGGGAATTCCAGAAGGATTTTGGGGGATTTTGGGAATTCCAGAAGGATTTTGGGGGATTTTGGGAATTCCAGAAGGATTTTGGGAATTCCAGAAGGATTTTGGGAATTCCAGAAGGATTTTTAGAATTAAGGTGGCATTTGGGCAATTCCAGGTGTATATTTTTGGGAATTCCGATGGAATTTTGGGAATTTCAGGTGTGGGGGCCCCCCTGGTGCGCTGGGGGTCCCTCCTGGGGGGGATTTTGGAGAATTCCAGGGGGATTTTGGGGGATTTTGGGCAATTCAAAGTGGGTTTTTTTTGGGAATTCCGATGGAATGTTGGGAATTTCAGGTGCGGGGCCTGTCTCATGCGCTGGGGGGGTTTTGGGGCATTTCCGGGTGGATTTTGGGGGATTTTGGGCAATTCCGGGTGTGTTTCTTCGGGAATTCCGATGGAATTTCGGGAATTCCGATGGAATGTTGGGAATTCCAGGTGCGGGGCCCGTCTCGTGCGCTGGGGGTCCCTCCTGGGCCGCCTCTTCCCGCAGGTCCTGAGCTCCTGGAGCGGCCCCCGGGACCCCCCGCCCGGGCAGGAGAGACCCTTCGGGTACGGAATTGGGGGAAAAAAGCCCGAAAATGGGAAAAAGAACCCAAAAAATGGGAAAAAACACCAAAAATGGGGAAAAAACACCAAAAAATGGGGAAAAAACACCAAAAAATGGGGAAAAGAACCCACAAAAAATGGGAAAAAGGAGCATGGAAAGGGGAGGGAAAATCCCAAAAATGGGAAAAAGAACCCAAAAAATGAGAAAAAACACCAAAAATGGGGAAAAAATACCAAAAAATGGGGAAAAAACACCAAAAAATGGGGAAAAAAACCCACAAAAAATGGGGGAAAAACCCACAAAAAATGGGAAAAAAACACATAAAATGGGAAAAAAACAGCTGGGAAAGGGGGGAAAACACAAAAAATGGGAAAAAGAACCCAAAAAATGGGAAAAAACACCAAAAATGGGGAAAAAACCCACAAAAAATGGGAAAAAGGAGCTGGGAAAGGGGGGAAATCCCAAAAATGGGAAAAAGAACCCAAAAAATGAGAAAAAACACCAAAAATGGGGAAAAAACACCAAAAAATGAGAAAAAAACCCACAAAAAATGGAAAAAAACAGCTGGGAAAGGGGGGAAAATCCCAAAAATGGGAAAAAGAACCCAAAAAATGAGAAAAAACACCAAAAATGGGAAAAAACCACCAAAAAATGGGGAAAAAACCCACAAAAAATGGAAAAAAACAGCTGGGAAAGGGGGGAAAATCCCAAAAATGGGAAAAAGAACACAAAAAATGAGAAAAAACACCAAAAATGGGGAGAAAACACAAAAAAATGGGGAAAAAACCCACAAAAAATGGAAAAAAACAGCTGGGAAAGGGGGGAAAATCCCAAAAATGGGAAAAAGAACACAAAAAATGGGAAAAAACACCAAAAATGGGGGAAAAAACACCAAAAAATGGGAAAAAGCAGCTGGGAAAGGGGGGAAAAAAATCTCAAAAATGGGAAAAAGAACCAAAAAAAAGGGAAAAAACACCAAAAATGGGGAGAAAACACAAAAAAATGGGGAAAAAACCCACAAAAATGGGAAAAAGCAGCTGGTAAAGGTGGGAAAAAAATCTCAAAAACGGGAAAAAGAACCCAAAAAATGGGAAAAAACACCAAAAAATGGGGAAAGAAACCCACAAAAAATGGAAAAAAGCAGCTGGGAACGGGGGAAAAAATCCCAAAAATGGGAAAAAGAACCCAGAAAATGGGAAAAGGAGCTGTGAAAGGGGGGAAAAAATCCCAAAAATGGGAAAAAACACAAAAAATGGGAGAAAGAACCAAAAAAATGGAAAAAACAGCTGGGAAAGTGGGGGAAAAAATCCCAAAAATGGAGAAAAAAACACAAAAAAATGGGAAAAAAGCAGCTGGGAACGGGGGAAAAAATCCCAAAAAATGGGAAAAACCACAAAATTGGGAAAAAGAACCCAAAAAATGGAAAAAAACAGCTGGGAAAGGGGGAATAAAGCACAAAAAAGGGTTAAAAAAATCCCAAAAATGGGAAAAACCACCTGGGGAAGGGGTCCCTGGACCCATTTTTGGGGTCCCCGAGTTGATTTTTGGGGTCCCCAGGGTGGTGCGGAGCCCTGAGGTTTTGGGTTGGTTTTTGGGTTTTTGGGGGATTTTTTGGGGGATTTTTTGGTGTTTTGAGGTGTTTTTTGGGGTGTTTTTTGGGGGTTTTTGGGGTGGTTTTTGGCGTGTTTTTTTGGGGTTTCTTTTTAGTTTTTGATGAGTTTTTTGGGGGTTTGGGGTGGGTTTTTGGGGTGGTTTTTGGGGTGTTTTTTTGGGGGGGTTTTTGGGTTTTCTTTTTAGTTTTTGATGTGTTTTTGGGGTTTTTGGGGTGGGTTTTGTGGTGTTTTTTTGGGGTTTCTTTTTAGTTTTTGATGTGTTTTTTGGGCGAGTTTTGGGGGTTTTGGGGTGTTTTTTGGACTTTTTGGGGTTTTTTTGGGGTGGTTTTTGGGGTTTTTGGGGTCCCTGACCCCATTTTTGGGGTCCCTGAGTTGATTTTTGGGGTCCCTGATCCCGTTTTTGGGGTCCCTGA